GTTGAAAAAGTCATTTCCAAAAGAGGTTTTAAACTGAGCTAAGATACTTCTAAAGATTTCACAGCTTCACTATTTTTCTCAAAAGGTTTTACACTACTTCTATATAGCATGATGATATGACATACGTGATTTCTTACCGCTCAGTTGTTATTTACCTTTATTACTCACTGAGTTGGAGTACTCACTTTACTCCCTGTACCCCGTGTGCAGATGCAGGTATTTATTCACCCGGTAGCGGGTTTGGCTGATCAGAGTCAGAGATATAGGAGTTTAGCGAGGTAACTGCCAGCGTTCGCAGCATCGTTCTTCTCCCTTTGTTCATTATTCTTGATTAGTGTATTTTAGACCTTGAAGTTGTGCTTACATTCTAATAGATGCTCGTGACTTGTGATACCCCGATTAGGGCTGTGTGGGGTTTTAATTCCGCTATTAATATTATTAAGTCATATTTTCACTGTTTATTCATGTTTAAATTATTTTTGAAAAGACGAGTTGGGTTAGTTGGCTGGCATCGTCTTCACGAGAGGCGCCATCACGACCGGGTTTGGGAATTGGGTCGTGACACAACAACAAGAACAACAATAATAAGAACAACAACAACAACAAACCCAGTATGTTCCCAACTGGTGGAGTCTGGGGAGGGTAGTTTGTACGCATACCTTACCCCTATCAAGGGTCATGTCCGCAGTGAGCTGAAGCAGCTCCATGTACCTCTCCCCAGTACTTCTTTGGCCTACCTCGACCTCTCTTTACAAACTCGCCAAGGCCAACCTCTCAGACCTCCTAACAGGAGCATCAATGCTTCTTCTCTTAACATGTCTGAACCATCTCAGCCTCGACTCCCGCATCTTGTCCTCCACGGAGGCTACTCCCACTCTGTCTCGAATAGCTTCATTCTTAATCATATCTCTCCTGGTACACCCACACATCCATCTCAACATCCTCATCTCTGCTACTTTCATCTTCTGCACGTGGAGTTCTTGACTGGACAACACTCAGCCCCATACAACATAGTCGGTCGAACCACTACTCTATAAAACTTCCCTTAAGTCTTGGCGGCACATTCTTATCACATAAAACACCGGAAGCAAGCCTCCATTTAATCCATATCGCTCCGCTGCATGTGAGACATCTTCGTCAATCTTTCCGTTACCTTGGATAATAGACCCGAGATACTTAAAACTCGTTCTCTTGGGATAACTTGAGCATCAAGCTTTACCTCGACGTCTGATTCATGGGTTCCGTCACTGAATTTACTTAAATTATTATGTAGTTATTAATAATATATTGTAACCGATCGTGCCCGTTTGTGATGTAACTGAAAATAGTAAATCAATCCCTGCGTACACAATATATCCCAAAATAGAGTTTGACTTAATTAGGTGGTACACAAAATTATAACTTTCGTGCATTGGGGAATTAAGATACCCCAATATAGCCATAAGTTATGCACCAGGTTCATATTCACGTTTCGAAGCCACCTTAGCATGCTAAATCACGAGTTCCCTAAACATGTGTAGGAATAAGTAATAAAGCAAGACAACAGGTTTGTACTATAAATAGAAATCATTACTCCAATCCACCATAGGGTTGGGAATCCGGACTGGTTAATAATGTAAATTCTCCTATGAACAAACACCAATGGATTACTTTTAAAGAATATATGAGTTATAGAGTGTAAATTCATAGGAGCTTTTCAGTCATAGTGAGAGCTTTGGGAAATCACACAGCAAGTCTTCATCATAGATAGAGAGAAGAATAAGGGAGAAGATCTTATTTAAAAGAAGTGATACGATTCCAAAAGACAATCAAAACATTTTTTATTTTACCGTCCCCTGACTACTTTTACACTTTGCCTGTGGTCTTTATTTCTCCCAGAACTTTGACGATCTTCCGATGCAGAAGCAAGCAAAAAGTTGATGTGTATGCGACATCTTACCTCTACCTTTCCTTTTTTATTTGATAATCAATTGATCCCTGAGGTCTAGTTGGGCATGGTTTGAAGTGCAGATAATAACCGGTCTGATATTGTATTTCGTCATTTAAATATTATGTTTTTCTGTGGGAGGACTCAAACTCATGATATGCCTAACTCACATATCATGTGTTATCTTCTTGACATCATTTTTATAGAATTTTTGTCGGTAGATTTTTGGTTTGTGATCGAAGCTTAATTGATTGAATATATTGTTTGTCACTATGGTTAAAAAGATTTCTGATAATCTGATGTCCTAATTATGGACATTCTAAGTAAAAAACAAAAAAAAACATATTTTCTTAACTTCTTCCATACTCTCTCTTATGAAAAAGCAAAAAATCATGAAATTACAAAGGAAGTAAAAATTAGAATTTAATAACTTCTTCCAGCAAGTCGTATCATAAGGATAAAATGAAAATATTAAAATCAATAACATCTAAAGTGAGAAATATAGAGGGGCATATTTGAATTTTCCCCCCCTAGAGTATTTAGACATGTAAAATTCATCCAATTCACGAAGGAGCTCCGTTAGCTAACGACAAGGTTAGGGAGGAATCTAAAGTTTAACAAAGAATAAATATAAAACATTCCGTATAAAGGGTTTTAAATTTGAAAATTAACATCTTCTCTAACTTCGATGCAAATATTGCCCAAGCACAGCTGATGTATATTAGCACATGACGAACAGTAGTAAATAGTACTACTATCAATTTATTTGTCTAAATGCAATCACAGGGACAAAACACGACGGAACAATTCGGCCGCCTTTTATTTCGTGTTGGAGTTTCATATTTTTAACTTCCATATTATATAATTGCGACCATCGTAAATAAATACCTTTGTCATCCACAAGTTGGCGGAGANTCTAATTCAACAAGGTCAACATCATTATATTAGTGTTAAATTTCCTGAAGTATACGCCATTCTTCTTGCCAGTAGAATCATCTTCATCATCGACAGTAGTGTAAAAATGTTAAGTATATATTCTGATGCATTGAATTTGGACTCTGAAGTTCTGTATTTGTTTTACACGATTAATCCCTTTTTTTTAATGTATTTTTTTGGGTTTAAATCACGTTTTATAAAAAGAACAAGAAAAAAAAGCAATCGCGAGAAGATCAACCGATGTACTTTTACTTGAATTCTTCGGAGAACGCATTGAATGAGTTCAAAAACGTAAAGTTGAAAAAGCATCGAAACGTAACTAAATATAATATAATTTTAATTTTATTACACAATTGTACGCTATTATCCTTATTGTGTGTTTGCATTTAATTTATTTTGTGTTAAAATAAATTAAAAGTTAAGGACAATAGGTCCTGAACTTAGGCTAAGAAGCCCAAAAGTTAAGGACAGACAGTCCTTAACTTACAGTTACAAGTTCAAATGTTAAGGACAATAGGTCCTTAACTTTGATTTCCAAGTTCAAAAGTTAAGGACAATAGGTCCTTAACTTTGATTACCAAGTTCAAAAGTTAAGGACAGACAGTCCTTAACTTACAGTTACACATTCAAAAGTTAAGGACAAGCAGTCCTTAACTTACAGTTACAAGTTCAAAAGTTAAGGACAATAAGTCCTTAACTTTGACTTACAAGTTCAAAAGTTAAGGACAGACAGTCCTTAACTTACAGTTACACGTTCAAAAGTTAAGGACAATAGGTCCTTAACTTTGACTTACAAGTTCAAAAGTTAAGGACGCTTGGTCTTGAAGTTTGAGTTCCAAGTTCAAAAGTTAAGGACATGTAAGCTTGAAGTCCTGAACTTAGAGTTCCAAGTTCAAAAGTTAAGGACATGTAGTCCTGAAGTCCTGAACTTAGAGTTACAGGTTAAAAAGTTAAGGACATGTAGTCTTGAAGTCCTGAACTTAGAGTTTCAAGTTCAAAAGTTAAGGACATGTAGTCCTGAAGTCCTGAAGTTAAGGACATGAGCATAAGGGTATTTTCGTCCGGCAGTTAAAGTTTATTAAACTAGTGGCTAAAGACTAAAGACATTTAAAACACTGGCTTTAAAATAAAGACATGAGCTGTTAGTGGCTATTTGTACACATCGCCCCAAATTTGACGTAGAGCTCTTACTATAAATAGCACTACTTTACTTTTATCAAACATCCAAGGTACAAAAGTAAAAAGAGAAATATTCAATCAAGGAGAGGAAGTGCATCATATTACAAATCATGAAGTTCACAAAAATTGTAGTGGCAGTTCTCCTTATTGTGACTATTTTAGCAAATGCTGAAACCACAAATAATGAAGTTGTTGGCGACAATGGAATATCTTGCAAAACAAAATGTATACTTGCATGTGCCCTAAGTAGCACTCCCCATTGCCTTGATGATTGCCTGAAGCAGTGCCAACTTTCCGTTTCTTCTAAAGTATTGAACTGTAATTTTGCTTGTTCAACTGAACGTTGCTTTAAGTTTAGAGAAGGTATATTTCTTTCCTTAACTTTCTTTATTTCAACAATATTCTCTATGTTTGCTGACATGTTATGAAATTTGTATAATCTAATTTATGACATTCATTTTAACAAATTTTTTTGTAGATTCGAAGTTGATGGGAAGCTGCTTGGAAGAATGCTCAACAAAATATTGCAACAAGCTAGAGCGACATGTATCTTTTATGCTTCTTGTAATGCAAAAGCAAAGTAATAAAAGACACTAGAACAAATATGCTATATTGATTATTCCAAATGTATTGATTTATGCTTCTAATGAAGTGGAGAAAATTATTTTCACAACTTTATCTTTTAGATAAAGTCTCCCTTATTGTCTCTTTAGTCGTCTCCCAGCTACGATTAATAGAGTAATCTGTCTTAAATTTCTACAGAAAATCTTATAATAAATAAAGTTACTTTGCTTTCATCAAACATCCAAGACAAACAAGTAAAACAAATATATTCATTTAAGAAGAGGAAGTGCCTCATTATATTGTAAAATCATGAACTTGGCAAAGTTTATAGTTGCAGCTTTCCTCTGTTAAAAAAGTTGATCATGATAAGGATAAGTTTGAATTAGATAAGCATAGTTAGAATGTATTGTAAAGTTAGAACTCTAACTCAATGTAATAGTTATACGAGTAGTAGAACTCTAAGTTCACTAGTAGTTGTTGTTTTGTGACTTGTATAAATTCAATCACTTATGGCTTTGTAAAATACTGCAATAACAGGATTCTTCAATACATTCTTTCCTCTCAATCGTGTGATTTTCTACATGGTATCAGAGCTTCTTGAAGCTACGCTGCCCACACGATCAAACATGGCCATAACAACATCCTCAACCTCTCTGTGTCTATCACCTGCCTCCCTGCACCATCTGATTGCCTCTTGTCCAGTTAAGTTGAAGCCATCAAACTATTTAATGTGGAGGACACAAATACTCCAGTTGATTCAAGTGATGAAGGTGACAAACTTGATCAAGGAAGGCAAGCCAGACACAAGCAGTTCATCTGCTACTGATGGTGCAAACACGACAGTCGACTGGGAGGAAAAAGATGTGCTCCTGAGGAGTTGGATCTCTGCTACAATGACTGAAGAAAGCATGTATCTCATAGTAGGATGCTCAACTGCCAAGGAAATGTGGAAATGTCTGGAGGAAGCATACCTGCAGGCAACCAAAGATAAGGAATTTCAGCTTAAGCAACAGCTGCAGAACATCAAGCTAGGAACCAAAAAGCTTGATGAATACTTGAAGGAATTCAAAGGCATATGTGATGGTCTCTCAGCCATACACAAGCTTGTTGATGAAGACAGCAAAGTAATCAACTTTGCTAGAGGACTTGGCCAAAAGTACAAAACTTTTAGGACTGTCATGCTGGGAAAGGCCCCATATCCTACACTAAACCAGTTTGTCAATGCCCTTAGAGGCTTTGACATGAGAGAAGATGAAGAAGAAGTGGTTCAACAAGGCTACAATATGGCTTTTGCTGCTCAAAGAGGAAGAGGTCGTGGAGGTTACTCTAACAGAAGAGGAACTCAAACTTCTCCTCAAGAGGAAGAGGTTTCAGACCTGCAGGACAAGGCAGCAATCAGAATAATCAAACTAATCAGAACACTGTCAATTCAAGACCACAACAGGGCAAGGAAAATTGCCAAATATGTGGAAGAAACAATCACACAGCCCTAAAATGCTGCTACAGGAGGGACTATTCCTACCAGGCTACAGAGGATCTGCCACAGGCTTTTTCTGCTGTTAATCTCCAGAACACACAGGCTGAAGATGAAGCTATGTATGTTGACTCTGGTGCAAGCAGCCACATAACCAATTCAACAGGTAACCTATCAAACCTTCAACCTTACAATGGTTCTGATAAGATAATAATTGGGGATGGCTCTAAACTTGACATCACACATATTGGAAATACAATAAAATCTGGACTTAAAGAATAGGAAATTCTTGTTGTCCCTAAGATTAAGAAGAAACTGCTATCAGTTAGTAAACTTGCTAAGGACAATTTCTGTACACTTGAGTTTGATGAGTCTGATTTTGTTGTAAAGGACAAGAGCTCAAGGAGACTTCTGGCCAAAGGATCTAAGAAGAATGATCTATATGCACTGGAAGACAATAATTTTTATGCCTTATCTGCATCAAAGGAGTGAATCATTATTTATGGTGGTATATGGTGCAATTAATGTTTATCCTCTTACAGCATGCAATTTCATTTATAATACCTCTCTTCACGTTTCCTCTTCAATAACACCTCATATGAGCAGAAAGAGATATCTGTATATGCATAGCAGAGAAGGTCATTCTTGAGCTTTTTTGGCAACAACTTGCGCTTTCAATTATCTTAGTTATAAGGTCTAAAAATAAATTGGCTAATTTGGTAAAAATTATGTTTTAATTATTCCGCACAACAGATCCTCTTTGAAGCCCATAAGGTTGTCAAATTCAGCCATTCATCTTAACATCTTCAGAATGGGCTTTTGAATTATGTTGCGCGAACTCTCCAAAATGTAGCCGCACCCGAGTCGGATCCTTAAAAAATGTACTACTTTTGGAGGATCCGTTTTTGGAGCCGCACCCGAGTCGGATCCTTAAAAAATGTACTACTTTTGGAGGATCCGACACGTATCCGGCCACATTTTCGGAGAGTCCGCGCAACATAGCTTGTGAAGACTACGAAAAACGTTACCTTATTTTACAGGGTAGAGATGAGACGACATCAGAGAAGAACGAAATGGAGAAAGAAGTACAATAGAAAACCAAGAAAGTGACACAAATGGACCGATGAAAAAAGGAACGGAACTAAAAAAATACTCAGTAGTTTTAGGCATATTGTCAAACATGCATCAACTTTTCCTTTTTGTTACTACTATTTTTGCATTTAATGTGTGTTTCGCTAGAAAGTGGAAACTTTCTTTCTCTCTTATCCATTTTCTTCAAATGCATGCGCAGAATCAGTTAATAGAAGAGTCAAAGCCACATGAATTACTTGAATAGACGTAAGCCACATGATCATGATGGAAGATGAATTGAACTAAAGCCCTAAAGCAATTGAAATTGAGCCCTTCTCAAGTCTCCATACAGTCAGATCTCTCATAGAACTCTGCCATTTGACACAATACTGGCTAAACTTGTGTAAAATGAAATGAGGGGTTCTTCTGAATAATAACAGAAAGAAAGGGAAAGCAAAACAAAAACACAAAAAAAAATATGGGCAAAAGAACTACCTTTAGAAGAAGAAACTTACCAGCAAAGAAGTTGAATTGAGAAATGGAAGAGAAACACCAAATTTTGGCAGCGTCATATATGGAGCAATGCAAGACAATGTAGATAAGTTGACAATGGAAGAGGTGTACGGGAAATGAAATGGAAGTGGAAGACAGATGTCCACACAGATACAAAGACTGTACACGTGTCACGAAATATGACAATGAACCAGTAAATAGAGAAAATACAACTCATGCAGCTTTTTGTACAACAAACTACAACTGTGTTCGTACACACTTGTTCATTTATATACAGTAGTAATAGTAATAGTAATGTTAATTCAGAAGTCGTGGTCCAAAGACTCTTAAATAGCAAACGTCCAACACGGCAACGTTTGTTAAACATTTACTAAATATTTAAACTTAGAACTAAATCACTAATAATATTTAGCCAAGATTTGTGACTTAAGTTAAATCCACAACATTAGTACTATTTGTAAGTACCTCTAGGTTTTTCTTCAAAACCCTAAGTTTCCATTAATTTTCCATGATTTTTCATGTTAAAATCTAGATATTATCCAAGTAATTAACTTGCAATAGGTGGGATTAACTTACTTCCAAGTTGCTAGGTGAATGCCCCTCTCAAGAAGTTCCAAAAATCGCCCAAGGATGAAGAAATGAGCACAAATGCTCAAACCCCCGCCTCAAACACTCACTGCCCAGCGATCTTCGCGCCCGCGGCAAAACCTTCGCGCTTGCGGAAAAACTTTCGCGCTTGCGGCGTCCGCGCCTGCGATGGATTTTCGCACCTACGGTCTTCGCACCTGTGGCCAACTTCTTCGCGTCAGCAGTGCCTGGCCAGCCTATGCCTTTTCGCTTCTGCGAGTCATGCCCCGCTTCTTCGAGCTCGCACCTGCGGCTATCCAAGCGCAGGTGCGATCACACCAGAAGCTGGGAGCTTCAACTTATGCTCTCCAAGTTCAAACTTGGTCCGAGCCTCGTCCGGTTAACATCCGAGGCCCCCGGGGTGTATCATTTAACTACTGCCACGATTTTTTTAACTTGAAGCAAATATATTCATTTAGCTACAACATATCGTTTCAAATAATTTATTGTAGCTGCAATATTACTATTGCTACAATAACTTTGACGCGTGGCAAAAACTTATGATTAGCTACGAAATTCTATTGTAGCAATAAATTTTTAGCTATTTAGATTGTTATTGCCACGGTTATTAGTAATTATAGCAAATGTGAGAAATTAGCTTTGCCAATTTAGTGTTCGTAGCTAAGATATTTTACAATTTTGAAAATAGCCATAGAATTTTAATTTTTGTGGCTATTGCTAGGCATTAGCCACGATTCTTAAATTCATAGCTAAGATTTCGTAGCTATAAATACATAATGTAGTGACGGTTGTGACGAGGTGCAACGAGCACCGGCGCGTGCTGAGGTTTTTGGCGAGCTGGAGAGTGGGATTTATGTGGCCTTGTGCTGGTAAAGAGATGATAAGGAAATGGTATTTCTTCATTATTTTGACTAATGTTGGAGAAAACAATCATGGGCACTTGACATGTAATCGGTTCCGTTTGATCCTAAAATAGCTATAAGTGCAGTTGAGGTTCAACATTTAATAGTGCCTATTTAGGGTTTCTACTTTAGGGTTTATATGTCATGTTGGACTTAGTGTTAATAAATTTCATTGTGTTTAGGATTAAAAACTCAATCTATTTAACCATTAACTCTATAATGGTTTTGAGACTTGGACAAAAAATTAAGTTATTACATTTTCGATTCTGATATAGTAACAGCCATAAATGTTGATCATATATTCAGGCCTAACAATGTGGTCCAAATGGGAGTTTCACCGGCCAGTTATTAGTTATGAGAATCAATGCTGCATTTACTTAGTCACATATTGATTATGAGGCAATATAAGTTTTTACAGTTGGTTAAATACAAAAACATATACAAAAACATACACTTTACTCCACAATTTATAGCTGTCCAGTATCTGTCACGCCCCGAACCTGGGCCTGGACGTAACACGGCACTCGGTGCCAGACTACATGTGACCGAGCGAACCAACTGGCTGGCTGAATCAACATGTGATATCATAATATACTAATTGCGGAAGATAAACTAACACATGCTGATATACTGAAAGTCTGGATGATATAAATCAAAGTGCGGAAATACTAATACAATTCGAAAACATATTTGCAGCCAATATAGCTTAATATGAAAAGCCTGTGACTCTGTCTAACTGTTACTCTAGTCTATGAAGCCTCTAATGAAATACTGAAAACACTGACTGTCTGAAAATACTGAAGACTGTAAGGTAATGATAATGCCCCGAAAGAACTGGGGATCACCAAACAGCTGGTACGAGAATCCTATCGCTCTGAATCATCAACCTGTAAATCATTACCTGCATTGTGAGATGCAGGCCCCGGGCAAAAGGGACGTCAGTACATTTGAATTGTACTGGTATGTAAAGCAACTAAAAGAAAGAATTATAAATGTTGAAACTGAAACTAAGCTGATAACTGAAATGATAACTATTGAAACTGAAACTGAAGTGAGAACTGGTAACTGAACTGATAACTAAAAAGATAACTGATAACTGATAACTGAACAGATAACTGAAAAGATAATTGATAACTGATAACTGAACTGATAACTGAAAAGATAACTGATAACTGAACTGATAATTGATAACTGAATTGAATAAAGGAATTAAGGATATGAATACTCCCTCTTCTGAATGATGAACAACCTGTTTATCTGAATAAGCTACGGCCTCGGGCCCAATATATATGTGCACAAGCTACGGCCTCAGGCCCAAGTATACGTATACATAACTACGGCCTCAGGCCTAAAAATGCATAAAGCATAAACTACGGCCTCAGGCCCAAACATGCATAAAGCATAAACTACGGCCTCAGGCCCAAGTATGCATAAAGCATATAAACTACGGCCTCAGGCCCAAATACAGGTGTTTAAAATTCAGGAACTGAGAATCAAACTACAATACATGATAGTGAAATACTGAATCATACTGAGTTACATGATACTAGAATACTGGATCACACTGAGTTACATAATACTGGAATACTGGATCACACCGAATTACATAATACTGGAATACTGGATCACACTGAGTTACATAATACTGGAATACTGAATGGGACTAGATTGAGACATGTATTCTTGAACTGATTATGAACACTAAAACTTCAACTGTTTATGGCATATTGAGTAATCTATACTAAGACTCGGGGGCATCAAACCCAAGTCTATATTGAATACGCACTGAGCTCACAACGTTCAGAATGGAAGTGGTGAACGAGTTATGAAGCTAGAGAATAGAAGTTCTACAACTATTCCAGGAACTAGGCTTAACTATATTTCTGAGGCAATTGGTAACGTCGTAAAAGAATGTAGTGTAGGGAGAATCATTAAAATTTCCAAACATAGAGAGTTAGCCTCACATACCTTAACTTCCTGCTCTTGAGCATAATACAACATTCGCCAACCCTTTCAACTTTAATCTATATCAATACAAGTCAAAGGATTCTAAATTAGCAACAATAGTCATGTTTTGGTCACTTAGGTATTTTATCAAACACTTGGTGACATAAAGCTTCATAGCCCTTATTAACGATGATTCTACACCCAATATCCCATTCTCTTGCTCCTAAATAAATTCTAAAGTCTCGAATGGTTATAATCAACATTATTCTTCATCACCCATAAGGTAAACAACACTCTTAACCAATAATCAACACTCAACACCCCAACCCTATAATCGTTCATGCTTTTCTATCAAACCCATAAGCTCATATCTCATGAACTAGGGTTTATAATCATCAAACCAATGCTATAATCAATTAGAGGGTGAAGATATTACCTTTTTGACGTTCAATCTCTTTGAATTCGAGTTCTAGGGTTCCTTCTCTCAACAACGATGGCCCAATCGAATATCTAATGATATGGAGAGTTTATCCATGTCAATAAGATGTTGGAAAATTAAAATTAACTTAGAATCACCATTAGAACTTACCTTGGATGGTGGAAGGACCCTTAAGGAGTTAGGTTTTTGAGAGTTCCCCTTTCTAGAGCAAGTTTTTATGTTTTGGGGCTGTGGGGGACGAAGTAGAGCCTTAAAGTAACCCCTACTAGCGCACCCACGCACCTGGAGGCCCAACCCGCACTACTGGCCGCGCTAAATGGCCAGAACGAAACCCCATTTGCGCGGGCGCGCTAGTCTCGCGCTAGTGGGAACGCATATGGCGTAGTGTTTTGTAAAATACGCATAACTTTTTGCACAGATATCCGTTTAGGCTCCATAATATATCATTGGAAAGATATTTCGAAGGGCTACAACTTTTGTGCTTTGAGTTTTCCCTAATCCCTTACAACTTTTTACTAAAACTTGATGGAAGAAAGACCTTCTGCAAAATTAGTCGATTTTGTCAAATCTTATGCACCTCACTTTCCATCTTGATTTTAAAATAACTATTTTACCCATAATCATCCCGATGGGACTTCACAATATCCAAAATATAACCTTACTACTCCTTTAACTCATTCATACCTAAGTCGAATATACGGGGTGTTACATTATCTCCCCCTTGGGATCATTCGTCCTCGAATGAATGTCCTGATTGTAACTTCTGCTAACTCCGGAACTTAAACGGGTCTGGTGGAAACATGAACTTGCATAATACTTGCATACTAAACTGAATGAATACATGATTACTGAACTCTTGAGATACTGAGCTGAATGACTACTGCATTGACTGAATATTGGTCTGCCATGGATACATGAATACTGAACTAACATGGATATATGAATATTAAACTGGCACGAATATTTGAGTAATCTGAGTACTAAGCTGGCATGGATGTCTAAGTATTGGACTAACATGAGTGGATGAGTATTAAACTGACTTGAATATCTGAGTATTGAATTGACATGAGTATGTGAGTATTGAACTGGCATGAGTATCTGAGTACTGAACTGACATGAGTATCTCAGTACTGAACTGGCATGAGTATCTGAGTGCTGGAAACTTGAATGTTATAACATGACACGTGAAATACTGGTTGTACCACCACTAATT